TGTAAATTTAGTTGGTATCTGTCAACAAGCAACTAAATATTTACTACATTGTGAACCAAAATTGAATAGATTTTATATTGAAATTAACATTAAATCTTTTTTTTGTCTTAGGTAAAAATTGACCCATGAAGGCATTTATTTAAGACTAATGATTTCTTAAAGTCATATAAATTAATTCATTACTGTATTTTGATATTGGGTAGCCTTTTCATTTCTTTAGATAGGATTTGAGTTTTCTGTATCTGACACTAACTAATGAGACTTTTTTTTATTTTTGCTGATGGAGTAAATTTATTGCTGATTGTTGCTTATTACCTCATTTATGCAAATACTCCTGAGTACTGTGAGGCTGAAGATGATTATAAATGATATTACCATGAGTGATAATGGTTCCATTTAAAAATAACCTTATCTAACACTTGCTATATGCCAGGTATTGTCCTAAGTGCTTTTTATATTATGTCCCTCCACATGCCGTACAGGTAGGTACTATTATAATCCTCATTTTTCAGATGAGGAAGCTAAGGAGCAGAGAGGTTAAATTCCTGCAGCCAGTAAGTAGAAGAAGAGTCAGGATTCAAACCCAAGCCGTGTGCTTCCACAGTCCTTGCTCTTAATTAAGCATGGCAGTGTTTTACGAGAGGAGTTTAATGATGCAAGGGAGTAGAAAAAGAAAAGAGGCCTCCTTCTTTTACACAACATAGCATTTGTTTTAGATAAAGTTTCTCTTGTTTTGAAAATATAAATACCAATGACTGTCTCTCTCTCTCTCTCTAATGAAGTTTTAGAGTTGTTTTTTTTATCAATATATGTATTAAGTGTGGATATCATCTATTCATTTTTTCCTCAGGGATGATAAGGACAAATACAATACATCTTAAAAACTTGGATGTGATTAAATATGCGGTAAAATATATTAAAAAGCCCATATTCTCAGGGAAGCTAAGTTTATAATTGCTTCAGCTTTATGATCAATCAAGACAGTAATGCCTCTTTCCAAACATACGTGTAAAGCTGCCTTCACCGTGTTCCTGGGGAAGAGATTGGATTTCGAAGCCTATGCTATGGCAAGTGTGAGCGGCCACTGTAAATTAAAAAGCTGTATTGCCTGAAATCAGAATTTTCGTTTGCAGTATAACTGTTGGTAACCAGCATCTTTTATTTGCTTTATTTTTTATCCTAGGAAAGGAGTATATTTTTTTAAATGACACTTGTATTTAGACTAATCGAATTCTAAACGATGATGGTTTTCTGGGTGTACAGTTGCCTTTTCAATTGGCTTGTGTCTGACATTCCCTAGTTATTCTAGATGTAAGACCTTTTAAACATTTTAATCAGCCCATTTTTCGTCCTTAGACATTGTTGCTATAGCTCCTGCTTTGGTATTTTCTGATGACTTCAGCATTTAAAAAGTCCAACCGGTCACTCTATTTTTAACTTTTTGAGGAACTTCCACACTTTTTTCCACAGGGATGGAGCAGTTTACGTTCCCCCTAGCAGTGAATGAGGGTTCCTTGTTCTCCACAACTTCTCCAGCACTTAATACTCGTCTTACTGATAAGAGCCATTCTAACAGGTGTGAGGTGATGTCTCATTGTAGCTTTGATTTGCATTTTCCTAATAGCTAATGTGTCATAGAAATGTACACTTGAAACCTATATAATTTTATTCACAAATGTCACCCCAGTAAATTTAATATGAAAAGTACAAGTGTGATTCTCAGTAAAGTGTTAATGAAATAAGGTCTGTAGTATATGAGGATTAATTTAGATGGAACATTATTAAATAAAAATTTGATTTGAAATTAGAAGTTAGCACTGGAAATTTTGACTGTATATCCAAATGTATATCCTCAGTTGAATGTATATCCTCCCTAATAAAGATGATTTGAATATTCTATTGAAATTTTAAGCTGAAAGTGAGTATGAATTCAAACTCATACCATCTCCCATCTCAGGTTGTCATTGAAGATTAAGCCTGAGAGTCGAAATATTTTTACTTGCCTGAGGAAATCAAGAATGTTTTCAATGGCCAACATATTTACTCAGAAACAAAACCACTGAGATTTTTATTGTCTTGGTATTTTTTTTGGTATAATATATGTCAGGGATGCATAATAGATGTATGTTAAAGGACATTTTGACAACCAGAAGTCCTCCTGTATACTACATAAGATATATTTAATTTCCAAAGATTTGTTTAATAAAAAAAGTAGGTTTTATGTGGTGATGTTTTGTGTCTTTCATTTGAGCATATAACTATTTAATGGCTGACAGAAAGTTATTCCTAGAAATGAACACTTGATTTTTATTTTTAAAATTTTACATGTCTTAAATAAGTATATTTTGCACTTTTATAAAATAATAAACTGTATTATCCCTTTTTTTCTTCTTTCAAATTTTTTGAATGAATTGGTTTTAATTTTTACCTTTGGTATAATTAATAACTTATTATTTAGCTCAACAGTCTTATAGCATCTTATACCAATATAAATCTGTTGTTTTAAAATAGCATTTGAAATCTAAATTTTTTATCACTAATTAGAGAATTAATATCTAAATTTTATATAGGAATACATAAAAACAGAAAAATAATAAGTACAATCAAGAAAGGAACTTTTATTTTTTAATGAGAACTGTGAGTTTAACATTCTGGTTTATGAATTTGACGTGTTTCTTCATATTAGGACCATATTTTTTCATTAAAACAAAATCAGGAGGGACAGCCTGTTTTCCCTGTGAGTTTCCTTTATGTGCTCCTGCAATTGTGGGGATGACGTTTATCTACCTATCCTCCTTTTATTCATTCATTTAGTAAATTACTGAACACTTAATCAGGTGGTCGGCACTAGGGCGGGCACTCAGAGCACGTCACAGCCAGGAAGAGAACTGACAGTATTTACTGCCAATGGTGAAAATCAAGTCTTCAGGCAAAAATGTGAACTTCGGAGAACGTACCTGCCAATGTGAGCCTGACTTTTTCCAGGGCTTACTTTTCTGATGAGATGTGCATCGATAATGAATGTGACTATATAATGAAATGTGTCACTATTTGGAAGGTCATTGGACCAGTGTTTTCTAAAAGACCAATGTGCGTTGTTACAAAATCATGCATAATGTAAAAGGTTCATTCAATGTGCCTATAGACCAGGGGCATTTCACATAACAGTGCAGAAAGTTCACTGATGATTTCAAGTTGCACGCTGCGATTAATTTTTTTGAAGACTACCACTTGTCGAATGCTGGTATAGTATCAAAGAAAGAAATCCATAACTATCTGAATACCCTCCCCTTCTCCCGCTATGTATCTGTTTGAGCCAGATTTTTTTCCCTGTGTTTCAGTGAAAATAACACACTGCAACAGGTTGACTGTGGAAGCAGATATGAAAACCTGGCCATCTTCTTTTAAGCTAGACATGACAGAGATTTGCAAAAATGTAAAGCTGTTCTACTCTTCTCACTACTTCTTTTGTTTTAGAAAATACAACTTTCTTTATAAAAATATTTGTGACATGTAATGAGTTTGTCATTTGTAAAAGAGGTAATAAAATAATTTTTTTCAATTTCTAATACAGTAAACATCATAGATGTCATCTACATAAACAAACATTTTGGGGGGGGGTTCTCAGTAATATTTTTGGGTGCAAGGAGACCCGAGATCAGAAGTTGGAGAATTTCTGATTCAGAGGAAGGATTCCACATTGAAATTATTGATGCAGTTGGGCAAGATTATGGAGAAGCTTGCATTTTATGCTAAAAGAGTTGTCCTTTTCAGTCAAGAGTAAGGAGATTGGTAATACAGAAGTTTTGAGCAGAAGAGCGATGGGAGTAATCTGGGAGGACAGCTGCGCTGGGTTAGGAGCCAGGGGATGAGTGGAAGGGACGGAAGACACAGCGCAGTAGCAGGAGGGCCGAGGGTATGGTGTCATGTTTGGCCGAGGGTGGGCTCAGAGAGGCTTGTGATGGCGGCACCGACCCAGCCACTGACTGGCTAAGGTGGGGGAGTAGTCAGATGTTAGGTCTGAGCTTAGCCAACTGGGGTCAAGGGGAGCCGATTTGTTGGGGAAGTTGAACTGCTTCCAACTTTTTTTATACTACAATTCAAGGCTTTGAGGTTACACAGCCAGGTAGAACCATCCAGTAAGGAACTGAAAATTGAGACCAGGTGGCCTTGCAGCTCTTACGGCATCGAGCACATCTGTGGCTTAAAATTATGAAGAGTTCTTTATGAGATAAGGCAATGGCGATCTGGCTGCTACAGTTTTATGTTTTGGTAGCTAGATGATAGCTCATATCAAAATCTACTAAATTTGTTGACTATTGTGTATTTGGCATTATACCATGTGCTCTTGTAGTTACTATATTTGCGTGTGTGTGACTGTGTATGTGGTTTTTAAGCTCCGTCAACCCCAGTTCTATCATTTCCTTGACTTAACAGCGTTGTACGGAAAGTGATTTTCCTATGTAGAACAGTAAAGTGTTGTTTAAACAAGTTATGATCAAGATTGAACAATGAAAACAGGCTTTTTTCCCTTTCTTTTCGAAAAAGTGGCACAATTAGTCCACGGTACATGGAAGAGAAACATCTATTTCATATCCCTGCTTATGATAAGTGTTTCTCATAGAAATTCCTCAATACTGTGTGGATGATTTCACCAAGGCTTTTTAAAACGACTGAAAACATGCTCTTAACAACCATCTGATAAAATGAAAAACTGAACAAAATGTGTATGCATATGAATGATTCTCTGAAGAAATAATGGTGCAAATGAATTATCAAAGTGTGAAATCATTAAAAACAAAACATGTTTGGGTTTTTATTGAATCTTAATTGCAGGCTTATGTATTTTCTTTTGTAAGCTAAGTTAAAAGAAAATTGTCTAACTAAATTTTTGGAGGCCACTGTTGTAGGACATATATTGTACCATAATTTATTTTTCACATAAAAGCTGCTGTTCATTTTTTCCCCTGAGCATTAACATGCATGCTTTCCTCATATAGGAGAATATATAAAAAACTGGAGGCCAAGATACTTCCTTTTGAAGACAGATGGCTCATTCATAGGATATAAAGAGAAACCTCAAGATGTGGATTTACCTTATCCCCTCAACAACTTTTCAGTGGCAAGTAAGTTCATTATAATCGTTGATTCACCTTTTATTTATTCTTTCACCTGTATGACCTTGTACATCACATATCTTAGTAGATATGAGAGGCCAATGAAAAAGTTTAGGTTTATTTTTAATAGAGAAATACTCAGCTGTGGTAGACTTTCAACTCCTTAGCACAGAGATGAGCAAAAATATGTGGTCTTATATAATGAATTGTTTAATATTTTTTATAGTTAGCACGTGAATGTGATCATTGTAATCCTCCAAATCTATAGTTCACATGTACATGGGGTGAGCATAGTTTGAAGATGGTGCAGTCCTTCCTGCATCTCTCATCAGCTTCCTAGCATAACCTTAGCTCTTCTGATTGAGCGTATGATGAGACACAAGAGATTTTCATTAGAAATCATTTTCAGGGGAGATTTTATGTTTGTAGTTAAATATTTCTTCCTCACAAATATCTAACAAAAATGTTTGTAATTCAAACTTATTTAGAAATCATGTATTTGCTTGAACTTAGCACAGAGTAAACTGAGAGGCGATGGTGATGATCAAGACAACATCTGCTGTTGTTAAGCTGTGACCAGGCACTTCAGGCCATTCATTACGGATAATCAGTGGAAAGGTTTTCTGTGTTAATTTCAAAGTAAAGCATTTTAAAGTTGTGTTAAGTTAAAATAAACCTGCCTAAACAGCTAAAGTCTGTACCATTGCGACAAAAATCTTTAACAGGACACAGGTCTTAATTTTGGTTTTGATTGTATGTTGTTATCTATTAGCTATACTTGGAAAAGATATGAAGGATGATTGAAGCAGAAAAATAATAATAATAAATACAGTAAAATAGAAACAACAAAAAATCCAAGATAGCAATAGTCCTTGAATATTATAAAGGTTATTTTACTATTACCTAGAGTCCCAGGCTTTTTTATGGGGATTATCTTTTAATTTTTTTGAAGAATAAGATAAAACAATAAATCAAAGTGTTTGTGAAATCATTTGAACGATAAAGATATTCACTTAGAGAAAAAAGTGTGAACACTTATATGTATGGATTAAAGACATTATTTTTCCCACCCAAAAGCTCATTAGATATTTGTAGCTTTCCTATAGTTGAAAATTATTTTTTAAAATCCTATTGTCAGTTGAAATAATATCTTGTATTTTTTTAACACATTCTCATTTTAAAGATCTTCTGGGCAAGCATTTGCTTTGGAGTGATAGGAATTGGCTTTTAAAGCATTAGCAGCATAGATTGTCATCTACCACCGACAGCCAATATAGTTTCTTGGTTCCTCTATTTTACTAGCGATTGCTATTGGTTTGTCTGACATAATTTATGAAAGTATAGAACTCCTGTATCTGCTGATCAAAATGCAGCATTTTTTGACCTTATGAAATTTCACACCCCAACAAATTGTAAAGACACGCTGTATGTCACAATCTGCCAACATCTGCTCCCACACTTGCACTGGCAGAGGCTGAAATAAATGCTGTGCTCCTGGGGAGAGATCCTGTTCGGTGACTGACAGTCAGCTCATCCTCGAGATAAACGGTAGTCGACATCTGCACTCTCTTCTTGTGTAATCGAGTAGGTGCAGGTAGTGGACTCAAACTCACAAGCAAAGTCGTAGGCCAGCCTCTCAGTTTTCAGAAGTGTATTAGCTTGGATCTTGCACTAGGTATACTATTTTAAACGAATTATTCTTAAAGCTTGATTTATTGCAACCTTAAATCTTATAAATAATAATTAACTGGGGAAATAGAGTGGTAAAATGGGCACTGGCTGAAGTTCAAATTCCAGCTTTGCCATTAGCCATGAGTATGGCCTTGGGCAAGTCATTCTCTGAAACTCTCGTCTTTAATTCCTTCCACAAAATAGTGTTTGATGAATTTATAAGGCCCTTTTTGTCTCCAACTTTCTGGGATTCTGGGAGGGAGAAATTGAGCAGGTCCTTGAAGTATGAATAGGAGCTAAACAAATTAAAATAAAGAAGAAAGATATTTGGGGCGGGGCGGGGGGAGCGCACAACAAAAATGTTTTTATGAGACATTAAAAGAAAGAACAGTTGGAATAAGAGAGGATTACTTCACCAAAGGTTTCCCTACTTCTCAGTCCCTGTTAGTATATGAAAAAAGAGACTAGTTTACAAAGCATTTCTAAGGTATATTGGGAAATATTATGTATACGTATATTCTGTTGAGAGCTGCAGTATGAGTCTCTTGTTTTTCCTGATAATTAAAATGTTACTCAGATTTAACCTATGTGGGTTTTAATGGAATTTTATGAAAATAGGCTTTTTAACCATATGAAGAAAGAGAGAGCTAGAAGGGCCTTAGCATTGATCTCTTCAGTCTTCATTCATTTTCGGATTCCTTTCTTTTGAAACCACTTTTATTTAATAAGTTCTTCAGTGGCCCCTTAATTTCTAAGACTAGCGAGCATTGTTCAGTTCTTTTCATTGATGAACATCCAGGCTGCGTTTAGTACTAGTGACCAGCACATCCTTCTTGGGATGACCTCTCTCATCATTTATCTCCTCCTTCTGGAATCCTCTTTCTCCTGGTTTTCTTCCTCTGCCTGTTGCATGCATCTTGGGGTCTAAACAGGTTCTGGCCAAGGACTCCTCACATGGCACCCTCGTCCTCGGAGGGCGCGTTCACTTTTAAGGGTTCAGTTAGCCACCAATCTACAGCCTACATCCATTCTTACATATCTTCAGGGCAAGCCTTTCCCCTGAGCAGCAGCTTACTGTATTCACCTGATTCTGGGCACCCCTACCTAGATATTTTTGGGATTCAACATGTACTAAGCTGAACCTCAGATAATTTTATTAATTTTTTCTCCTATGTTCAGTACCTCATTTCTGTCTTGAGCAGAAACTTGAATCTGTTCCATGCCTTCCCTCCGCCCCCCATCTTTACCTCATTTCTAATTTATTTCTAGTCTTGCTTTCGCTTCCTATTTCTTGAACTCATGTCCTGCCCTGGGATTACCCTAAAACAAGGCCTCATCATCTCTGCTATAGATTCTTAACTAGATGCTTTGCTTTTACCTTTGACCACTTGGAATATTCCCTTCCTGTGACTGTCAAAGTGATCCTTCGAAAATCAAATCCTAAGGACATCAGTGCCCTGTGAGAGCCCCGCCCTGGGTCCTCATAGTCTGGTGGGTCAAATCCAGCTTCCTTAAGACATCACACAAGGACCTCCTCAGCCTGGCCCCTGCTGTCACCTCCTGCCTTGCCTCTCTTCTGTGTGGTGACACTGGGGCAGCCCTGGGCTGCTTGTCGCAGACGCTGCAAACTCTGCTGCTTTTCTACTCTGAGCCTTCGCTTATGCTGTTCTCTCTGATTAGAGTGACCTCTTCTCTATTTGCCTGGACCTTTTTTCTTTTCATTCTTTAGGGCTTTGTTCAGATTTAAGTTCCCAGCCTGCTTCCTTGCTCAATGGCTCCTCTCTGCCCGCCCCAAATCTGTTACCTTCTGTTGTTACCACAGTGTTTCCTGGTTATCTGTTCAAGTGCATGTCTCCTCTGCTCATCTGGGAGCTGTTTAGGGGGAAGAGCTCGCTGTTGTTTCTCTTCTGTCTCCTAGGCCCACATGCTAGGGCTTAACAACTGGTTTTAAATGACTATCTGGAAACATCTAGTCTACATTTTTCACTTTTTAGATGAGAAAAATGAAGCCTTTAGAAATTCAATGATCTTTTTGAAGGTTATTTTACTAGATAGTAGTAGTTAAGTATCAAATCTCTCTACTGTTATTTAAAAATGCTATTCCTCTCCCCAACCACATTCTGTGACATTTTACCTAGATTAAGAGCCTTGAGACTTGATTTTGGGTGGGAGTTCCTACACTTAAATGGTTAGATATTCTCTGTCATACAGAATTTTCCAAGCCCTATAAAATGTGGATAATAACATTTGACCTTCATCCTTTGGGTAGGTGAAACGTGAACTGTATGGAAAAGTACTAAGTGTAGTGCTATAGAAATGTAAATAAAAATAGTTTTGAAAAGCGAGGTACATTTTTAATCAGAATTGTGGTTTGGTAAATTGCTAATTATGGACTGAGATTATATTTGCACAGGAAATAGTACACTTTGACTGAAAAATAATGTAGGATTCACACAAGCATTGTTGCAAAGCCGTATTCAAAGCTACTTTGAGCCCAATAGTGTGTCTACTCAATAGTCATGGTCTTTAACACTTTGACAATTTTCAGTCCAACTCAAAAGTAGAAACAGTTCCTCCGTGGAGAACGGGAACATTTGTCCATATGTCTCAGGGCTCGGTCTTGCTCACAGCGAGGAGAAGGGAGAAGTGCCGGCCGTGTCCGCAGAAAGACTGCCTAGAATTCCACCTCATTCTGTGCTGCAAACACTGGCTCACTCTGAAAATATCAATTTCCTCCTTGAAACCCTTCTGCGGTTCCTTTTTTTAAAAAAATAGATTGGTCTGTGTTTCTTAGGCCCATTTTAAAAGTGAAATGAAATGTTTACTTATTAACCTGTTTTTCTTCTTCTGTTTGAAAGCAAGGAAGGAAGTTATGGGGCTTAAACCTACCAAAAAACACCCTTACCTCTAAATAAATATTAGACTTGGAGATTGTAAATGTGAAGACAAATATGTTGATTCCTACTAATGTTTCCACCGTGGCTGTTCCTGGGGAGAGAATAGGGTAACACATGATGTAATCTGTAATGGCAACCCTCTAATCTAGGATAATACGATAGTATATAAATATATAAGGATTCTGAGAGGATGATGCATTTATCACAGGAGTATGAAATACAGTCCCCAGTTTTTGTATGGGGGACTTTGTCATTGAATTGGATATCTGGAAGACATCCACACAGAACGTGGAACAGTGTGAGGGACAATCAGACTAATTGCCAAAAGGAACTTTATAGAGAATAAATGCTGCAGAATTGAGAGAACAGGCAAAGATAAGCTGGGGTGCTTAGCTAAGAATTTATTCATGAGCTGAGGTTAGCACGAGCCGTGGAGGATGG